CGGTTTTTTCTGGGGATGCAGGTGCTGTCAGCTGATGTGACAGAGATGGGCTCAAAAATGAGGAGAGGGAGGGTCCTGTGCGAGGTGCAGAACAAACTGCAGGGTTACAGACACATCCTGTCCTGCTGATAGCTTTTAATCCTCATCGTTCTCATGGGTTTTCTTGATAAATACACATCTCAACCTCCACTGAGCTGCCATCCAGGCCTGAATTGTAAGGAACAATAAAGATAATGGACGGACTCAATTTAGTAGTTTTCGCTACGAGCTTTTTATTAGCGCAGCTTTTTTTTTTAAAAAAAAAAGGAGAAAGAAATGACTGCATTTATTTACTTGAAGTGCAGAAAGCAGCTCTTTCAGATCCGAGGGAAGCGTGCCTGAGTGGGCTGAGTTCAGCTGGTGGTTGTGGAATGGGGGAAGGATCCATCGTGTGTGTGTGCAGCCTGCAGTGGGTTAACTGCAGATGTTCAGGAATTCCTCTCTTGCCTTGGCCGTGGGGTTTTGCTGCTCTTCAGAGCACAAGTGCACTCCARTCACAGCAGGTTCACGGGTTTGGAGATGCCTTTCATCCTCTCCTGCTCTTGCTGCGTGCTCGGGAAGGGATCACGCCGTGTCTTGCAGCCATGTGTCTTTGTTGGTTGTGTTTCCAGAGATTTGCAGACCCACATAAAGCATCTATTAAATTAAGGAAAATGGCCTTTAGAAAGCTACATTTCAAGTGGAAGAAATGCTTTATGTAACACAGGGGTATGTGAGGGGACCTAAATACAAGCTTAAATTGGCTGTTACGAAAATAGGTATAATTGGGTTTTTGCACAGTGATTTTTACAGCTTCTGAGTTTAATGTCCTGATGAAATCCTGCATCCAGTCCACGTGCAGCCGARGAGATGGGGGTTGAGGAGCCCGAGTAATGGGGCTTGTTCTAGGAACAGCCTTGCCCTGGATTGCAGAACTGGCCATACCTGTCACCTGTGGGGCTCTGCTCTGTCTGGACGGTGTCTGGAGTGGTGAGTGGTGGCTCCTTCTCTCTGTCCTGGCTTTGCCCCTGTTCTCTCTCCCCTCAGCCAGGTGAAGGGGCATCTCTCTAAACTGCTTGCAGGTGAAAAATGCAGCTGTACCCTCCGACCTGGGCACGTGCCAAGAGCTGCAGCTTTGTTTTTCCAGCCAGATCGATGCAGTTTGTTGAAGTCGTTGGGTAATTTAGTAGCTGGAGGCTTTTCTGCGGGCTCGGCGTGAGAGCGGCGGCTTCGCTTCCCCCCTCGGGAAGGCTGGGGAGGATTTCCCTGTGAACCCAGGCTTCCCCGGCTGCATCCGGGCACAGGTGATGCTGTGGGGTCATTGTCCAGCCGTTCTGGGATGGGGAGCCTGAAGAAGTGGAGGATATCACATTTTGACCTTGCATGCTCGTATTAATCCCGATGGTTTTTCCTGTTTTAATATTTAAAGCCTTTCCGTTGTTGTGTCTGGAGAGACAGAGCGTTGGCCCTCCTGGGTAACAATTGACACATCCTCTTCTGGAAAGTTCATCCCAAAGCAGGTTTTAGTCATCGAAATCAAGGCACCTTTGAATCTTGCTGGCAGGAATTGGAGGAATAATTTTATTTGGTGTATCTTCAGCCACTTAGGCCTGAGAGCTGGTTTCCTTTCTAGCTTGTTAAAGGTCTTGAAAGGATGAAAAAAAATCTGTTGCTTTCCTTAGAATCTCCTAGCCAAGGCATGGGAGGAAAGCCTGGCACTATGAGACAGGGTGCAAAAAGCTGAGATAGTGTTTGCTGCTTCTTTGAAACTATCCCTTTTTAATTGTCTAAACAGCGTTTCAGAGAAAATCTCTGCTCTTCTCTTTCTTCTTCCAGCATTATAATTCTATATAATCACTTTTCTTTCTCTAAAAGAATAGAGCATGATTTTTTTTTATTTTTTTTTTTGCAGAAGGAGGAAGGGATAAATTCCAGATGTTGCTGGGATACACTTTTTGCCTCTGTTTAATGTTTAGTGGCTTTCAGTAAATACTCTGCAAGAGGTGGGGCTGGTGTTTTTATTCCAGGACAAATCATCTTCAACAAATCCCATCTGCCAGCGGGGGGAGAGCGTATTTTGGGTGTGACCTGGTGATGTTGGAGCTGATCCTGCAGAAAGGCAGCAGAGGCTGGGGCCGGCCTGAGTGTTCCTTTGGGGTTTTTGTCCCTGGTCACTCGTGTTCTTCACCCCACTGTTGATCTCCAGCTCCGTGGATGTTGCGGGATCCCTGGCATGGGAATGGGCATTTCTCCTCTGAATTGTTTCTGTTTTGGGAGCAGCTCAGCTCTGCAGCCTGGGTGAGGGCTCTCACATCCTCTGTGCTGTCCCCTGTGGGATGCTCAGTGTAGCTGGGCTCTCCTGGCAGGCCAGGCTTTTTGGTGCTGGCATTGCAAAGAGCATCCGTGTGCCCTGTGCCAGCGTGGGGCTGCATCCGGGGGCTGAGCTCTGCACATGGGCAGTGCTTTTCCATGTTCTCCCAGCAAAGATTTGCCTTTCCAATACAGGCCATGCTTGTCAGTGCTCTGCAGACGGTCAATCTTTTTCCCTGCTCTCCCAGCAAAGATTTGCCTTTCCCATGCAGACCATGCATGTCAGTGCTCTGCAGAGAGTCAGCCCTTTCCCTGCTCTCCCTGCAAAGATTTGCCTTTCCCATTCAGGCCATGCTTGTCAGTGCTCTGCAGACAGTCAATCCTTTTCCCTTCTCTCCCAGCAAAGATTTGGCTTTCCCGTTCAGGCCATGCTTCTCAGTGCTGTGCAGCCGTGCAGGCTGGAGCAGCAGCATTTCCCCAGCTCGTGTTTTAGGACCGACACAGCAGCTCCCTTCCCCGTTTCGTGTTTTCACCTGCTCGGGCGAAGTACACCCTGCTTTTCTGGCAGCCTGTCGGGTTGCACAAACGGTGTGAGACAAACCCACGAGCAGGTGTTGGTCCAGCCGGGGTAATTGCTGGTTCCTCGCTGCTGCCGTGGGCACAGAGCCCGAGCCACCCATCCCATGGAGCCGTCTGCGGCTGCGGAGAGCTCTGGGCACGGCTCAGACACTCCCTGGATCCCTTCCCCATTGCATAAAGAAAGTTTATGCATGTAAGGAGGGAGGGAGGAGAGCCGAGGGTGGCTCTGGTCGGGTTTAAAGCACCGGCTTTATGTGCTGGTTCTCATTTGCATTTAAAAAGTTGGYAAATGCACGGCTGAACCTAAAGGGCAGATGTGAGGGTGGGAGAGGCAGGASTGCTAAGGGAGAGGGGAGAAGCAGCATCCCAAAATCTTGTCTGGCTGCAGAGGGATCAGGATGGGGTCTGCCACACRTCCCAGACCATGGCCAGACACCTTGGATGAGACATGACAAGGAGGGTGTCACTGTGTCACCTGGGCTGTGGAGCAGTAAGGGGAGAGACATTGCTTTCTACCCTTTTGGAAATTTAGCCAGAGAAAGCTGATCCAAGTCCAGCCAGCTGCATGCACAGAGTCTCCTTTTCTCAACCTTTAAGTTTCCTTTGGCCTCCCACCCTTTTGTGTCTCCCAAGCCGTTTTGGCATCTGCTTTTTTTCAGACTCTACTTTTTACCTTTGGGACTCCCACCCTTTTTGGCCTCCAGTCTTCTGTTGGCCTTTCACTCCGTTCCAGCCTCCCACCCCTTCCCAGGCTCAGTGCAGGAGGAGGAGGAGGAGGAGGAGGTCCAAGCTTGTTGCCACATGTCGGTGTTTGGCTCGGCAGAATTCCTTTCTTTCCTTTTCCGTCCTGCTCGGTGTTGGTGCCCATTCCAGAGGAATGGTGCTGCTGGTGCACRTGGGCCTGGTGGCTCTTGGTTGCCCATAGGCATTCAGGTGACCCCTCATGTTTGTGGGGCCACTTGTTTTTTTGGACACTTGCATGTGAAGCATCTAAATCAGCCTGACTTCACACCAGCCAGCCCAGCCTGTGACCCCGGTTAGCTGCTGCAGKAATTTACAGCGACTCTCTGATCCTTAACCTTTCCCTGGGGTGAAAAAATTGCTTATCTCTGTCCTCCCAGGTGCGTGGAAAGGGACTTTTTAAGGCTTTATTTGGGAGCAGCAGTGTGCTGATGTGTTCCCTGGAGCCTCCCCTGTTGCAGAGGAGCGGGCGTTGTGTCTGTGACCCCAGCCTGGCGTGTCTGACAGCCACAGCCTCCCTTGCTCCCGGGTTAAAGGCCACTTTTATAGGCCAGTAGGACTCCTTCTGATCAGACTGTACTAATTAGTACCAATTAACCATTATCAGTGACAGGCAGTTCTTATGGGCTTCATAAAAGCATCCTGTGTACACGTGTTTCTCCGCCGAGCCTCCTGCAGGGTGCAGAGCTCCCACCCAGCCCTGTCCCTTTATCCAGTGTTGCAGTCACATACTGATGGGTGAGAGAGAACTCAGGAGTTGTCTTTTATTGCAAACTTTTTTTGCTGCTTTTTGCTCCTCACTTGAAAATACATCTGCTGGGCATTGCTCCTGGGGTGTTTGTGCAAGATTCTGTGACTCTTCAGTGCTCCAGAGCCACTGCCCCAGCTCTGGGCTCGGGGTGTCAGGGGACCCTGAATTGTCACCAGGCTTAGCTCTGTGTGTTTGCAGAGGAGACAGAGTGTGATAAATGAAGGGCAGAGGGTTGTGCACAGGCAGCCTGGCACTGCTGGATGTGGCAGGGACCTCTCTGGGGTGGGCTGAGTGTTCCCAGAAACCTCACAAACCCCTGCGAGGTTTTGGCATTTCCATCAGGTGGGATCAGGAGAGCAGGGGAGAGAGCAACGGGATCTSGTGTGGCAGTGTCTGGGAAGGCTTGTGGGGCCATTAGGCAGGAGTGGTGGCACTTTGGGTCCTGTGGAGGTGGCAGCAGTGGCAGCAGGTCCTGCTGTGCCACRGGGGAGCTGTGCCAGGCCGAGTCCCCATGAGGGCAGCTGGGGTGTGTATGCAGCCGCTCCGACGTGGCTCCCATCACTGACGGATCCTTTTCTGTTTTTCTTTCAAATGTCTCCAGGCACTGAATGTTTAGGTCGCACCTTTCCAGGTAAACTGGGTAAGTGAAGTATTTCAAGAGTTGCCAAGATCTAATTCTGAAGGCTGATTGCATGATTGCAGCTGCTGTGCTGTGAACAGCCCTGCTGCTGCTGCACTGGGGGATGCAGTGGTGTCTTCAGAGGCTGGCTGGTTTTTGTCTGTCCATATCTGGCTGCTCTTTGGTAATCCTGGATGGGATTTTTTTTCTGCTGCTGTTCAGTGTAGAAACATCTCCAAAAGCTGAGTGTCATTGTAAGCACCAGCACTTTTCCGTTTGCTGTTACTCAGGCAGACTGATGAGCAGCATTACATTGAGGAAAGAGACTTTCACTCTATTTTATGAAAGTAGTTGACATCCTGAACCTTTTAAAGTCATGGGGTGTGGGACTTCTGCTGAGTGTGGCCAGAAATGCCCGTGTTCAGCACTGACAAAACCAGGTGTTGAAAGCCCTGTTAAACCAGGCTCCTGGATTTGAGCCGAGCCTGAAGGAGCCTTAAAAAAGACACTGTTGCAATGTTTATGGGTCTGTCTCTCAGATTAGAATCGAGTTTATGGCAGTACCTCAAAAGTAACGTGGTGTCCCAAGCCTGCTGGGGAAGAACCAGCTAAATAAAGTGTTAACAAGTGGTGAATAAATGATTTTAATAAATGGCAAATCAATTGCTATAGAGCCTGGGAAGTCAATAGAGCTTATGACCTTGGCTTATAACCATGCTMAGATCCTTAACGTGCTTATAATGCCTACAAATCATCCATCAAGCTTTTATCAAGCATCAATTAGTAAAAGTCATAATCTAAAATAAGAGGGGGAAAAAAAAAGAATTATTTCAGTTCCTTTATTTCGAGCCTGGTGGCACAATTTGGTTGCACAGCAGGATAGCCCTTGCTTATGCAAAAAAGCTGTAAGACACCACCGGTCCCCCGGCAGCGTTATCGTGGTGCAGACATCAGGAAGGGGAGCCCGAGGCTGGGATCAGGGAAATTGTCCTACAGCATTGATGCTTTATTTACATTTATTTCCTATAAATGCCCTGAGATGTCAGCGGATGAGGCGGGCAGAGGGAGCGCCGCTGTCCCAGTGCCCTGTGTGGTTTTTCGGGGTGTTCTCACTCCGGATGAAGGTGTCGGGCTGTGGCTCCCCGCTTGTGAAACTCGCACCCAGTTTTCTCAAGCTCTGATTTGGGAAAGTGTGTGAGCAGGGATGTGTTCTGGCTGTTTCTGCTCTTCCTGCTTTTCCCCAGTCTTCCCATTTGGTGTGTGTGCGTGTTTGTGCCTCGGGGAGGGAGGCAGAGATGCAAGTGAAAACATGCGGTTTTCTTAGAATATAAATAACAGAAAATTAAGTATAATTTTTGTTTGTTGTAGAGTCATTCCCTGCAGTCTCCAGTTGTTTGCTGCTTTGCTGCGCCCCTGTACTCATTGGGTTTTTTTCATCTCACCAGATGGGTACTATTTGGAGCGAGCTGTGGGACACTTTAGGGCTCTTGCTGCGGGGTTAATTGTGCGCCCGGCGAAGAGCTGCGCTTGCAGACATCGCTGCATGCCCGGGCTTCTGGAAGCCAGACGGGGCTGCCTCTATCAGACGGYTTTTGCCTCGCCTTTGTTGTCTGGATCCTTGTCTGCAGCTCCAGCCCGGGCCGGCGTTCCCAGACACCGCCACCTCCTCCAGCTGATCCTCCCGGAGCGTCCCGAGGCTGCGGGCACAGCCACAACCCCGGCCAGAGATGCCCTTGCCCATCCCAGAGAGATGCCCCTGCCCATCCCAGAGAGATGCCCCTGCCCATCCCAGAGAGATGCCCCTGCCCATCCCAGAGTGATGCCCCTGCCCATCCCAGAAAGATGCCCGTGCCCATCCCTGTGCCACCTGGGATAAAACCCTGCATGTGGGGCTCAAAACACCTCCCTCAAGGGGGGTTTGGCTTTCACTGGGCTTTTTTTTTTTTTCCTGGGTTTTTGAGGTATTCCACCATCTCCCTGGTTACTCCTAGGTGTCTGTAGTGTGGATGTCAGAATGTCGGGTTCCTCTAAATGACCTGTGGATGCCTCTCTTGCCTGCTGAGAGCGAGCACTTGAGCTGAGCCACAGCCTGTGCCCGGATCTGTTCGCTGGGGCATGGTCAGGCACCGCTGTACCCCTCAATGGGCAGTAAAAAAATGAGGTTTTTCAGTTTCTGCTGGATTTTGTGTCAGCTCTCCTGCTTCTCACAGGGGKTGGCTTGGAAATGGGTACAGAGGGGTGAAGAGGGAATGCCCTCAACAAATGACTATTCATGTGATTTAGGAGGAGGCGCATTCCTTGAACTCTCTAAAATCAAAGGGCAGGGCGGAGGGTTTGCACCAAGCAAAACTCACATAGCAAAACATGTAAGCACATGAAAATGCGTGATTTCTTAGCGGTTTGGGTGAATTCTGAGRGAAGCTGGGTCATGCTCTGCGTTCACTGCGATGCTCCCCTGTGAAAATGCCAACGTGCACCATTCTTTATTTTATTGTTGTGGGTTTGGGCGTTTTGTTATATTAGTCTTAAATGCGTTTGTTTCCATAGCTGCACRCTGCTGATAGAATCCCAGTGTGGGATCTCTCCCCGTGCATGTGCACCAAAAATAAACGCCAGGCAGTTGTCAGGAGATGAGATGAGATGAGATGAGCTGAGCTGCTGCCATGGCAGGTGCTGAGCTGGGAGTAAATTCTGGCTGGACCCTGCTGAGGCTGCAGGTGTGGCATCTCACCCCGGTGCCACCACGCAGTGTCCTGCCAGAGCTCCCAGCTCTTTTGGTGCCTTAGTGGTCCCGAGGACCTGGAGCACCTGGGCAGGAGTTGCTGCAGGACTGGTGATGTTTTGGAAGCAGAGGATGAAGCAACGAAGGCAGGGGGAGAAGAAATTCCTTGTGTCTCACGTTTTTGTCGTGTAGAAAGGTGTGGATGTGGTAAGGTGTGCTGGTGAAGGATTGGCATCGGGTGGTTACCAGGATCCTCAAACTCCTCTGTTGCTCTGAACTCACTGTTCTCATCATCAGTTGTTGGTATTTCCCCTCTCATCACAAGGAGGTGGGGGTTTCATGGCAGTGTAAACTGTCTCAGCCGCTGGGTCTGGTTTGCTTGGGGACTCCAGAGGTGCAGCCTGGAGGTGGCAGAAGCAGGGGGGTCCCTGAGGTGGCTGCCCAATGTTGTCGGTCCCAGGGTGGAGCAGTGCCATTGAGTGTCACTGATGTCCGACGTGGCACCACACCAGTGCTGGTTTCATGCTGGTTTCACATCTGCACAGCTGGTCWGGAGCCCACCCCCGAGGTATTTACCTTTCCTTCAGAAATAGTGAAAATAAAGAGTTTTCTTTTGCCCAAAGTTCTGATCTTGGGTTTGCTGTGCCCTGGTTCTTCTCCTGCTGCCTGTGCTGACGTGGTCAGGGCATGGCCAGGGTGCAAGAGCACCCCAAAACCTTGTCCTGAGTGCACATGGGGGACAGCTGGCTGGGAGTGCTTCCCCTCACTGCTCTGCCAGGGCTGCCCTTAACCCCCGGATGCTCTCTCTCCTTTAATGCATCTTTTTAAGTACTGGGTAATAGTGTTTTCTTTCTGGCAGGGACAAACGGGGGCTTTTAATAGGTCTTTTGTTTTCTCTTCTGTGCGGTTCCCTGGCAGTAACCTGCCATTAGCTCCAGCATTTATTTAGGGTATTTGTATTTTTATATGTGGGGACCTCAGCACTGAGAAGTCAAGGGGTTTGATCAGGGTCACACGAGAAATACGTGTTAAAGCTGGGGCTTCAGCTTTTCCTGAATGTTGAGCTGACCTCGAGGCTTGGCAGAGAGGGAACATCTCTGTTTGTCCCCTTTTAACTGAGCCMGACAGGGAGGGCACAAAATAAAGGCCCCGTGGAAGGAAGCACATTTTTGTTCACTCTTTCCTGTTGGCAATCTGTGTGGAGCTGGAATCGCAGGGGGAGCGTCAGGATGGTGCGAATGAAACACACGGCAGCAAAGGGAAATTAGGCGTTGGAAATGTGTCGGGTTCCTTCACCTGCACGGGTT